TTACATTCTCAAAAAGTAAAAAGAGATTTAATTAGTTCAGGGTTTGTTCCAAACAAGGATAAATGTAAATGGAACCCATCTCAAGATATTGACTGGTTAGGATTCCACTGGGAATTGAATCTGGGGAAACTTTCAGTCCCTAGCAAAAAACTTTTAGGTATTATTCAACTATGTAATTTATTACAAACAGGTTCAAGAGTGAGAGTCAGAGATTTAGCTGGGTTTTGTGGTAAGATTATTTCTTTGAAGCCTGCTGTTGGCAATGTAACACAAATTATGACCAGAAATATTTTTTCAGTGATTAATCAACGTGAGCACTGGGATCAATATATTAATATTTTTAAGATCCCAGGATGTATCGAAGAGTTAAGATTTTGGCAAGAGAACATTTTGTCACTAAAACCTTCTAAATTGTTTAGAATTTATTCAGATTTTCATGCATTTACGGATGCTAGTGACACAGGCGCTGGCGGTTATGTGTCAAACACAACCTACGTTTTTCACGAGATGTGGTTAGATCATGAGAAAACTAGAAGCTCCACATGGAGAGAGATCAAAGCGATACTAATTTGTCTGAAATCTTTTCATAATATACTCAAAAATAGCGTAGTTACAGTACACACTGACAATCAAAATGCTGTGAGTATAATCCAGAAAGGCAGTAAGGTGTCAGAGCTGCAAAATTTAGCTTTAGAATTTTCAAGTATTGTGTTTTATATAATATTTCATTACATGTACAGTGGATCCCTCGGGAACAAAATGAAAAGGCAGATTTATTAAGTAGAATCGTAGATGTAGATGATTGGGGTGTTTCCCATGAATTTTTTACGTTTCTTGATACGATGTGGGGCTCTTATAGCTTTGACAGATTTGCAAACTCTGAAAACTCAAAAATAGAGAGGTTCAGTTCACTTTATTGGAACCCAGGAACATCTGCTGTAGACGCTTTTACGTGTAACTGGGCTGGTGAAAATAATTGGCTAGTTCCGCCAGTTTCAGTAGCATCTAAGACTATTAATCATTTAGTAAAATGTAGAGCAGAAGGTACATTAGTTGTTCCTAAACGGCCTTCGGCGCCAATTTGGCCATTGCTATTTACAGAGAACTTAGGTTACAAGAAATATGTTGAAGACGTATTAGAGTTTCATGAGACAGACAGAATTTTTGTACCTGGTAATAACTTGAATTCTATGTTTGCAAACGGAAAATTTTCCGGTACAATTCTTGCAGTTAAAATGAATGCTAACATTTAATTTTAAATTGTAGAGAACGTTTGTCACTGGACACCTGGTCATTGGACTAAAGCTACAGAGCTGTTACAGTATTTTGTCACTGGACGCATTTAATTGTATTACTTTTGGTCACTGGACCTCAGTTCATATGGTTCCTTTTTGGTCACTGGACCTTTTTTGTGTGTTCACCGCTGGGTGATAGCTGGTCACTGGGCCATAATTGGCCATTAAAGGTAATTATGCTTATTTATTTAATTGCTTACCTATTTACATTTTTTAAAAAATAAGATTTTGTTTACAGAAAATATTTTCGGCCGGATTTTGGAATAACAGTGACCTCGTACAAAGTTCAGAACTGAAAAGACTTCTGTCTCATTTACGTTCTACAGTTATAGATTCAAGAGCAAAGACAACTGTTTCCAAGTATGCTTACGGTTTCAAAAGATTTTTGGCGTGGGCACAAAAATTTCCGGAAATTGACTCTATTTTACCGGCTAGTGAACTTTATGTAAGCCTTTATTTAGAACATCTTTTGCAGACAGTCAAACATTTTAGTTCCGTTGAAACAGCTTTTTACAGTATAAAGTGGGCACACAAGTTAGCTAATTTACCAGATCCTAGTGATTCTGATTTAGTTCGTAGTATAGTAGAGTCTTCTAAAAGACTGGCCCACAAGAAGGCCAGGAAAACGAAAAAGAAAAGAGACATGGATAGATATAAGAGACTCAAACAGGAAACACAATGGGAAGTCAGGCAAGCCAACAAAAAATATATGGAAGAAGTAAGCACCAATTATAAAGACAACTCGAAGAAATTCTGGTCATATATAAAGAGCAAAGGTCAAGAATGGACAGGTGTAGCACCATTAAAGAACAAATTGGGATTTCTTCAAAGCGACAATAAAAGTAAAGCTGAGATACTCAATGATCAATTCCAGTCAGTATTCACAAAGGAAAACCTAAATAACTTTCCTAACAAAGGAAAGAGCCCATATTCCACCATGGATGATATCAAAATCAGCACTAAGGGAGTACACAAACTACTCAAAAACCTTAAACCACACAAAGCTACTGGTCCAGACTCAATTCCATCCTTCATCCTGAAAACAGCGGCAGACCAACTCGCTCCTTTTCTAACAGATCTGTACCAAACATCCCTTAACACCGGAGAAGTCCCACAAGATTGGAGAGATGCTAACGTGGTACCCCTATTCAAGAAAGATGAAAGACATTTAGCTTCCAACTATAGACCTGTATCATTAACTTCCATCACATGTAAGGTCTTGGAACACATAGTCCACAGCAGCATTATGGACCATTTTGACAAACACAACATACTTACCAATGCACAGCATGGGTTCCGCAAAAAACGATCATGCGAATCACAACTTATAATAACAATCAACGACATTGCAAAAAAACTGGAAAAAGGATCCCAAGTTGACATCATCCTTCTTGACTTTGCAAAGGCATTCGACAAAGTACCGCACCACCGCCTTTTACACAAACTAGAATTTTATGGAGTAAACCCTAAAGCTACAAAATGGATTCAATCATTCCTTCAAAACAGAATGCAAAGCGTAATATTAGAAGGAGCTGTCTCCTCTCAAGTCCCGGTACTATCAGGCGTCCCCCAAGGCACAGTTCTTGGACCTCTATTGTTTCTAACCTACATAAATGACATGCCAGAAACATCAACGTCATCTGAAACAAAACTTTTTGCAGACGATAGCCTACTTTTTAGAACAATAAACAACCAGGCAGACAGCGACCTTTTGCAAAAAGACTTAACATCATTGGAAGAATGGGAGAATAAATGGCAAATGAGTTTTAACGCCAAAAAATGCATAGTTATCAGAATAACGCAGAAGAACAAAGAAGTGAGAGATACATCATATAAACTCCACGGACACACACTAGACAATGTTGATGCAAGCAAATACTTAGGCGTAACTATCAGCAACAACCTATCCTGGGATAGACACATTGATAATATTGTAGGCAAAGGAAATAAAACATTGGGATTTATCCGAAGAAATCTGAAAGACTGCACAAAACCAGTAAAAGCAGCAGCATATACAGCCATGGTAAGACCTTCAGTGGAATATGCCTGCACAGTTTGGGATCCATCGAGCCAAAAAAAGATCAAATCATTAGAACAAGTTCAAAAAAGAGCAGCAAGATTTGTTCATAATAACTACTCAGACAGAACACCTGGCTGTGTAACACACATGGTTAAACAATTACAGTGGGAAAGCCTGGAAGAACGTAGGAAAACCAACAGACTATGTATGCTATTTAAAATCCAGCACGGGCTAATCGATATAGATAGACAACAATATCTAATACCCAACGACAGCCGGACCAGAGGTATAGGCCGCTTCTACCAAGAAAGAACAAAAACCGACACCTATGGACAGTCATTCTTCCCAAAGACCATCAGGGATTGGAATCAACTTCCAGCTAAAACAACATCGACTGACTCGATAGAGGGATTCAGAGCTGCTCTGAAAGCAGGATCTGGAAGGAAGTAAACAGCATAGCGTGTACATAATTTTAATTGTAAATTGGCGAACGTTTTAAATGTAAATAACCTTGAGAAGACTTGCTGCCTTGCCCGGCACTGCGCTAAGTTTTCGCGGGACCATACACATTCAATATGAATTCGGCTCCTTACTTGGAAGAAGAAGAAGAAGAAGAAGAAAAGAAATTTGAATAGGCCTATACAGAAGAAGGAACCCATAGATGCAACTATTATAAAAACTTTGTTTAACAGATTTAGTAAACCCAGGACATTAAAAGATTTACGTCTGCTATCTTTGTGTGCTGTATCATACGCAGGATTTTTAAGATATAGTGAACTTTGTGCTATTAAGGCCAAGGATATTTCGTTCAAATCAGAATATGTAGAAATTTTTATTGCTAACAGCAAAACTGATTGTTACAGAAAAGGGAAAAGTGTTGTTATAGCAAAAACAAACACACCCTTCTGTCCGGTAGAAACTTTGTTAGCTTATATAAAAGCAGGTATTATAGATCTAGATTCTGAAATGTACATATTCAGGTCTATTTTGTATGTTAAGAAACATAATAATTTTGTTTTACGAAAGAAGAATGTAAAATTGTCATATACACGTGCAAGAGAAGTTGTCAAAGCTGCACTTTACACTATTGGCTTAGATGCTAAATTATTTGGTTTACATAGTTTTAGATCAGGTGGGGCTACAGCAGCCGCAAATAACGGTATTTCTGATAGACTTTTTAAAGTGCATGGTCGTTGGAAAACTGAGAACGCTAAAGATGGATATATTGCTGACGATCTCGAAAAACGTTTGTCTGTTTCTAGAAAACTTGGCATCTGACATGCTTTCTTTGTACGTTCGAAGATGGTCACCGCACCTGACAGTCTCTATAAAGTTGTTTGTCTTTATTAAAACAAAAATGATTTCATTGTCAGTCACAAATATTAGACAATTGGTATTTGCTTTTCTAGTTGGTAGTAGTTTGGTATAAGAAAATTGGTAGTCAGAGTACATAAATGGTTTATTTTCGGTTGAACAGAGTGAATTAAGAAAATAACGTAAATTTGTGTTGCACAGAGTTTACTTTCATGACACATGTATGAAATCTACATAATTTAAATATTTAAACAAGTATATTAATCAAATTTTAGGCAGTTAGAAATTTTTTTTTTTTTATTAGCTTAAATCATGAGCTTACTTGTTTAAAAGAATGTACTTTATTCTATCCCAAATAAATAACGACAATATTGCTTTCAAATTATTTTATTATAAATTTACTTTTTATGAAACAATACATTGTTTAATTATATTATAACTACGTACATTTAAGATCATATGTAGACTTTTTACACGTGTATAAGCAGACTTGGTTCATGTGCGCTCTGATCAAACATTGTCTCTACATCATATCATTTTGTTATTAAAAATTGACATCATTCCTTTTCATTTCTTACCATGTCGAGAGAGAGAGAAATAATTATAAACTCTGACTCAAAACCGAAAGATGCAACAATAAAAAAACTGTTATCAAAATGTTTCTCCTGAAATTGTCATCGTAAATCTACGAGATATGCGATAGCAAGCCAATTTAACTAAAAATACACATCCAGATATCAAGATAGTGTCTTAAAAAAGTATGTTTTATAAATTTCGTGCGTAAAGAAGCGCTTTTCTTGATATACCTTCAGCCAGAACACACATAACCAAAATTTTAGAGCAAAGAATGTATAAAAACTTCAAGAGCTATAATACAAAGATGGATCATCAGGAATAGCAACAAAAAACCTTCCTGAGGGAATTGGAAAACGAAAAATTTAAGAAATGTGTGCATTAAATGATACATAAAAGATTAATACCTACGCCTTTTTAGCTCACCGGGGCCCGAAGGGCCCCATGTGAGCTTATGCCATCACTTGGCGTCCGTCGTCGTCCGTCGTCTGTCGTCGTCGTCGTCTGTCGACGTTAACTATTTCAAAAATCTTCTCCTCTGAAACTACTGGGCCAAATACCTTCAAACTTTAACGAAATGTTCCTTAGGGTATCTAGTTTATATTTTGTATCCGAAGTTTTGATCCATCGACAAACATGGCCGCCATGGCTAAAAATAGAACATAGGGGACAAATGCAGTTTTTGGCTTATATCTCAAAAACTAAAGCTTTAAGAGCAAATCATACAGAGGTAAAATTGTTCAATTGGTCAAGATCTATTAGCTCTAAAATTTTCAGACGAATCGAACAACCCATTGTTGGGTTGCTGCCACCGAATTGGTAGTTTTAACAAAATTTTGCGGTTTTTTGTTATTATTTTGAATATTATTATAGATATATAAAAAGTGTAAGCAGCAATAATGTTCAGCAAAGTAAGATCTACAAAAAAGTTAATATGACCATAATTGTCAATTGATACCTTAAGGAGTTATTGCCCTTTAAAGACAATTTTACACAATTTGTTCATCAAGTTTGCTAACATTTAAAAATCTTCTACTCTGAAACTACTGGGCCAATTACCTTCAAACTTTAACTAAATGTTCCTTAGGGTATCTTGTTTATAAATTGTATCCGAAGTTTATATCCATTGACAAACATGGCCGCCATGGCTAAAAATAGAACATAAGGGTCAAATGCAGCTTTTGGCTTATATCTAAAAAACTAAATCTTTTAGAGCAAATGTGACATGGGGGTAAAATTGATTAATTGGTCAAGATTTATCGGCCCTGAAATTATCAGACGAATCGAGCAACCCATTGTTGGGTTGCTGCCACCGAATTGGTAGTTTTAACAAAATTTTGCAGTTTTTTGTTATTATTTTGAATATTATTATAGATATATATAAAGTGTAAGCAGCAATAATGTTCAGCAAAGTAAGATCTACAAAAAAGTTAATTTGACCATAATTGTCAATTGACCCCTTAAGGAGTTATTGCCCTTTAAAGACAATTTTACACAATTTGTTCATCAAGTTTGCTAACATTTAAAAATCTTCTCCTCTGAAACTACTGGGCCAATTACCTTCAAACTTTAACTAAATGTTCCTTAGGGTATCTTGTTAATAAATTTTATCCGAAGTTTGTATCCATCGACAAACATGGCCGTTATGGCTAAAAATAGAACATAAGGATCAAATGCAGTTTTTGGCTTATATCTCAAAAACTAAATCTTTTAGAGCAAATGTGACATGGGGTAAAATTGTTTAATTGGTCAAGATCTATCGGCCCTGAAATTATCAGACGAATCAAACAACCCATTGTTGGGTTGCTGCCACCGAATTGGTAGTTTTAACAAAATTTTGCAGATTTTTGTTATTATTTTGAATATTACTATAGATATATGTAAACTGTAAGCAGCAATAATGTTCAGCAAAGTAAGATCTACAAAAAAGTTAGTATGACCAAAATTGTCAATTGATCCTTTAAGGAGTTATTGCCCTTTAAAGACAATTTTAAACAATTTGTTCATCAAGTTTGCTAACATTTAAAAATCTTCTCCTCTGAAATACAGGTGAGCGATTCAGGCTCTTTAGAGCCTCTTGTGTGGATGTTTCCATTACTTTTATTGGAATAAATTTCTGGAAATATTTGAAAATAATTGTATTTTTATATTTTGAGGTCAAAATAATTGTTTCTCAAACTTCCAACTAAGCTCTCTTGGTGAAAGTGGTAACATTAAGATTCATTCGACAAAGGTTGACTTGATATCGTTTTCCATCAAACTGAACACGTCAATTTAAATGGCAAACCATAAAAATAGCAAACAAGCAGTCCAAATATCTGTCATAACTGCATGAGTGGATCCTGTATTTAATTGTGAAGACTGTATATTAGCCGATCTTCCATCATGTTGTACATCTGGTGTCTGAGTAGTTCCTGTAATTGGGATAAAAAAAATAGTTTGAATACTACTCAATCATTAAGATGTAGCGAGGAAAAAAACATATTGGAATTGTATGCTTATAAACATATATAAGAGGATGTGGTATGATTACACAATATCACACACCTATATCCCCCTCCAAAAAAAAAAAATTGACCCCCAAAAAATTACCCTCATTTCAAGTAAAAGAGCCCTAAATTTTCATAAAAAAAAAAGCAAAAAAAAACGCAAAAACACCAAAATTTTCTTACTCCCCAAAAAAATTTTTTTTTTACTTTGGAAAAAACGTTATTAAAAACACCCAAAAAACAACAAAAAAATTCCAAAAAAAAAATAAATAAAAAAACCGGGAGAACAGGCGAAGAAAGAATTCTGTGGGATTTAAGAGAAAAAAAAAAAATCAATTTTTACTTTAAAAAATGAAACAACCTACAGCTCCTGATTTATATCCAGAATTACCTATAGAAGATGGACAAAATTATAGACTACAAAAAATAACAGAAATAGAAAAAACATTAATAAATGAGAGAGATAAACGTAAATCACTATACAAAAAATATAAACGCGGAGTTAATGTTACTGATGGTGTTGATACAAGTTTAATTTCGACATCTGTTGTTTTAGCTGGTATAGGAATAGCTTTTCCTATCTTACTTCCCATACAAATTGCAGCTGTTGTATGTGGAAGTTTAGGAGGTCTAGTTAAATTAATTAGAAGAAAGTTGACAACAAAATCAAAAAAACATTATGAAATTAAAACAATGGCAGAATGCAAGTTAAACAGCATAAAAGATTTAATATCAAAATCTTTAACTGACGGACAGATAAGTGCAGATGAATTTAAACTTATTTTAGATGAATTAGAAAAATACAACAAAATGAAAGAAAATATACGAACAAAACAAACACAAACAGTAATGAATGATAATGAAAGAAAAAAACTAATTGAGGAAACAGAAAATAGAGTAAAAAACGAATTAAAAAAAAAAATGGAAAATCTTTGATTTTCTTTAATAAAATAATTTTAGTTGATAACGGAAATCCACCAAACTATGAATCAATTTTTAATTAAATAAATGGATGAAGAAACAAAAGAAAAATTAGTAAAAAATGTAAAAATAATGTTAAATAAAAAATTTAATTATTTTTATCTTAAGTTGTTTTTAACAGGTTCTTTTTATTGTTTATTATCTAATATTTTAGATGAATAAAATGGCTGAAGGAGGTTATGAGTTTGATAATCCTGTGTTTAAAAATAATGATTATGATGATGATTATGAAGAAGAAGAAACGTCTTTTCAAGATGATGAAGAGTTTCAAAATAATATAAATAAGGAATTTGAAATATCAAGAGATTTATCAGAAAATGATGTTAAAATTCGTAAAAAAGAAACTACAAAAAAAATGATTAAACAATTTTATAAAAAAAATGGTGAAACTATACGTAATGAAGAGGTTTTTTTTGTTGGGGAAAATCATAAGAGAAGACAAATCTTATATGTAAAAGATGAAAAAGGTAATGATATTGCATTAACATATTACCAAAAAGGAGTATTAAAGTTTTATAAATTTAGCACTCTTCAAAGAGAATACGGTGTTAATTTTGTCAGGGATGTTTTAGGTGTAGATGATTATAAAATATCTGATAATTTAAGAGAAGGTAGAGCAGGGTTTCAGAGAATGTTAAATGAACTCGATAATATAGAAATTCCATTACAAGAAATATCTACACAAGAAGAAGGACAAGAATTATTAGAAACAGCAAGTAATGCAGAAACATATGTGAAAGAAATAGAAACTTCATTTATTGAACAAGGAACATCTTTAATAAATGAAGAAACACAAACAAAAATGACAAAAAGAGAGATGGATGGTATAATAAAAGCATTTACAACAGCGGAAGATGAGATTGCAAATAATTTAGCAAAACTGAATGAAACAAATAAAGACTTAGCAAAAGAAAATGCCAAATTAGAACAAGCTAAAGAATACAATGATGAATTTCAAATAGATAGAATAAGTAGTCGAATAAGAGAGTTGGAATCTGAGAGAAGTGCAAGACTAGAAGTAATTAATATTAATAAAGAAAAACTACGTAGTCAAGTAAACAGATTTAAACAAACAATACATAAAATGTTAAACGAAGACAAAACATTAGGTGAAAGAATAAGAACATTATTCAGAGAACAAGGAATAACAATAGTTAGTGTTTTAACTGCTTTTGGAATGATTATTGGTGTTATTGTTGAAGCATTTACTGGTGAAACTACTTCTCCTTCTCCTTCTCCTTCTCCTCCATCAAAAGGTGGTGGTGTACAAGACTGGATAAAAAAACAATTAAAAAATCTTGGAAAATTATTATCTTTTCTTGCAGGAAAATTAGCAGCTGCATTACCAGGTATTATAGGTTCTATTGTTTCTTGGTTATTGTCTGCAACAAAAGACGTAGTAAATTGGTTTGCAAACAACTTATGGGCATTGCTTATTTTAGTTGTTAGTTTATTGTTTACTGCTGCTAGAGATTATTTGAAAAAATAAAGTGCTGTAAATCCTATTACAATACTTACAAATATTATTGCTTGTTTATTATCTTCATGATCTTCATGTTCAATTTTTTTTATTGGATCTATTTTTGGTTCTTTAGGCTTTTCAGGTTTTATAGGTTCTTGTGGTTTTACAGGTTCTTTTGGTTTAAAATCAACATGATCAAAATTTTTATTATTTAAATCATCATTTAACCCAAGTGTTTGATTTTCTGTTGCAATTATAATTTTATTATTATAACCAACAATACTTCCAATTTGTAAAACCATATCACTGGGAGACATATATAAACCAAGTCCATAAGCATAATCAACTTTACTTCTTGCATATTTTAAAACATTTTCATAATTCGATATCTGGGTGGGTAAATCGATAGGACTATTTATTACATCTTGTACATTTGCTAAGAATTGTTTTTGTGCATCAAATCCTGTTCCTACTTTTAAAATTTTTGTTTTTGTTTGAGATTGTGCACCTAACAAAGCCCATACATAAATTTTAATACTTTCATTAATACGTTCAATACCTGCTTGTGTAAACCCATTAGAGTTATCTAAAATAAATGTTGTCCAAGCCATACTTATATCTTTTTCATGCTTAATAGTATCATGAGTACTAAAGAAAGGTCCTTTAATTTTATTTCTTTGTCTATATTCTCCACTTGGTTTATAATATTGCTCAAAACTTCCTAATCCTTGACATGATGATTCTAGTTTTTGTCTCCAATTTGTATTTGGAGAAATATTAAATTCATCACATAATTTCTGATATGCAGCTTTGTCATATGGGTTCTTGTAATAACAGAAAGAAGAATCTGTTGGTAAAGGTGATTTAAGTTCTTTTAAAATTCTGGCAATACAATAATATAAATGAAACATATAAAAAGACTTTGTAAGATTTGAAGTATTTTGTATATGATCATTATAAGAAACACCACATCCTGTACTTGCACACCAAACTGCAAAATTTAACTGACATTGCCACCAATCAAATGAAGAATGAATCCAGGTATTCCATGGTTCGTTAGTGTGTATTGATGGGTTTTGATAGTTTTGAAATAAATCAGGAAAAGCTGTTTTAAAGTTCTCTTTTTGATTTACAAATATTGTTTGATTTACAAGATTTGTTTTTAATTGATGATCTTTTTCAGAATATTTAATACCTGGATTATATGAAACATTAGGATTATATTTAAATTCTTTTGTTATCATTTTTTTATATTAAAAATGTTTCATACTATTTCAAATATTGATAATACAATAAACTTAGAACAATACATAAATAACAGAAATGGAAATAAACGTATTGGTTTGAAATTTATAAGATACAGCATAGGTTGGTATAATGTTTATCATGGGTTTATAACAAAAACCGGAGAGGAACAGCAAAGGATTATGAATGGTTATTATAGTTTTCAACAAATAGTGGATGAATTTCAAAAAGAAAATATTGTATTATCCGTAAATGAAGCAAATGGTATCGCTTCATTAAACACTACTACTGAGTTAAGGATAAGTAAGGGTTTGGGAAATATGTTAGGGTTTAATAATAAACGTAAATTCGAACCTAATGAATTACATTATGGAAACAAATTTGTGGATTTTGCTATCCATAAATCATTATATATCCATTTGGAACAAGTTAGCACTTCTCATAATTATCTTGATGGTAAGCCAAGTAAATTATTAGCTGTTATTCCAGTTGAAAATAAAGAGTTTGGTGAAGTTATAACAGCAAGATTTGAGCATCCGGAATATAAGTGTTTAGTAAATGATGTTATAACAGAATTGAAATTAGAAATAAGAGATGAAAATAATAACAAGATAATTAATCATTTACCAATTAATTGTGTTTTAGAAGTTATATAATTTATTTAATAAAATGAGCATACTTGGTGTCAAAAAAAAAAACGTAGAAAAAGAAATATTAAATATGAAGAGTGAGCTTCAAACAATGGATACTAAGGATAAAAATTTACATCGGAGTGTCGCTGCCCTAAGCATCAGAGTTTTAAATGTTGAAAATATAGTTGATAATATTAAAAATAAACCAGACAGAAAAATAATAAGTATATATGCTGGAATTGATGGTCCAATAAATAGAAATAAAAAGTTTAATTTTGGTGTTGGTGGTGGTTATTATGTAATGAACTTTCCAGGACAAATATTGGGTATTAGTTTAGTAAGTTTAAGAACAAGCACAGATATTATAGCCATTAAGATGATTGTTAATGATAAGTCAACTATTTACAAAATGAGTTTGGATAATGGTGTCACACACGGTTTTAATAACTTTTATACACCTTTTGAAGTTAAGGCTGGAGATTTAATAAGTTTTATTAGTATGACTAATAATTATACATGTATCAATACTCTAGTATCAGTGATAATTGAATTATTTTTATAACAAATTTAATCCTTAAAAATGTCGGCATACGGAAACAAATTAA